TATATGTTAAATACTCAGGAGAGTGCATGGTACTGAAGTGTTCTATGCCAAACCAAACAACCGAACCCAGTATTGTAACAGTTCTTCAGACTCAGAGACCTGTAGGTAGCTGTAGAGTAGAAGTGCCCCACAGGGTTTTCAGAGCTATAAATCTTTCTGTGAACAGCCTGTCATATCTTCCTCACAGGGAACAGCAGGTGGGCTGAACTGTCTGGTTAGCAGAAGTGTACTTAACCACTATGCCACGAAGGCTCCTCAAGCACAGTGTGGTGGTGATGGTAATTGTGTGCCATCCTGTTGGTTCCAGCTCATAGCGACTCTGTATAGGGTTTCTGAAACTACAAATCTTTATGGGAGCAAAAAGGTGTTCTTAGGTTTTTGGTTAAATGCTTTTCATTATCCTATTACTTAGGAATCCTGGTATAATACTGTAGGATAAGAGCAGGACCACAAGGTCAGTTTGAACCACAAGATTGGCAGTTCAAACACCAACCAGTCACTTCTTGGAAACCCTATACTAGGTCGCAATGAGTTGGAACCAACTCAACAGCACTTAACAACAACAACAACAAAGTTCTATCACTTACAGATTCCCATTTCACACCCTACCCAAAATATACATATTGAACCAGAATTTTCCAGTGCATTTAGGTTTTTAATATAGAGAACTGCCCCATAGTAATGTTCAGGCACTCCTGAATTTAGAACAATGAAACTGTTAATTGGATACAATCAATAACTGTGAATAGTGTTATTTTATTATTCCTATTTTATTGATGGGAGTGGATAGCTACTCACAGGTTCATGGTTGAAACCCACTCACAGCTCCTTGGAAACCCTACACAGAGTTGCAATTGGTCAGAACTGATTGAATGTCACTGAACAACAAGAGCAATTTAATTGATGAGGAAAATGAGGATCAATCACGTCTACGTGACTTGTTCAGGACTTTTCTCCAAGTCAGACTCTGGGTCTTAGACCAGTTCTCTATTGTAGTTCCAAGGATTTTGAACTAAAGTATGGAGATGTAAAATAATCTGGCAGCAATGGGTGTGTGTGTGTGTGTGTGTGAGGGGGTTGGTGGAGGGAGAAATACTTCTCCTGAGACTAATATTATTGAATTCCAGTCAATTCCACAAATTGTATTGAGTGCCTATTCTGGGCAGCACACTATTAGGACTTCTTCAGAAGAGTTCCAGTGAGAAGTAGGCATGGTATGCATGATTCACTTCTTGGGATTGAGTGACTCCAGCTGTGCTTGCGGATGACTCCATTACCCTAGCCCTAATGTCTGTCTACACTAAGGAGCTCTGGTAGTGTAGTGGTTAGTAGTGGTCATGAGTCGGGCTGCCAGTCTCACAGTCGGCAGTTCGAAAATGTGAACAGCCATTCCACGGGAGAAAGATGAGGCTTTCTGCTCCTGTAAAGATTTACAGCCTTGGAAACCCCATGCAGGTCACTATGAGTCAGAACCGACTCCATGGCAAATAACTACCACCATCACCAATGTCTGTTCTCTGGATGCAAAGGGGTGGTTAATTTCCCCCATAACATTTTCCTGACTGTTTCTTTAGTTGGATATCTAGCCTGAGAAAGTCAACCAAAGATCAATCTAAAGTTATTAACTACCATCCTCCTCCAATACCTTTTAACCAAAAGCCTAGTCCTACCCTATACCCACAAGAGGAAACAAGTAGCATATGAGAGTTGTCCTTATAAATGTGGTCATTAAGTGATGTGGAGTTAGTTCTGACTCATAGCCACCCTGTATAGAGTTTCCAAGGAGCAACTGGTGGGTTTGAACTGCCAACCTCATGGTTAGAAGTCAAGTGCTTATCCTATACTGACACACTGTTGTTGTTATTAAATGATGTGGAGTCTGTTCCGACTTACAGCACCCTGTATAGGGTTTCCAAGGAGTTGCTGGTGAGTTTGCTCTGCCAACCTCATGGTTCAAACTGACCTTGAGATCCAGTACTTTATCCCACACTGCTACACCAGGACTCTTTATAAATAGGTGGTAGAATTAGGTACTGATTTATATGACTAAAGAAGTGTTTAGTAGGACTTCATGCCACAAATACCTTCCCCATGAGGCCTGAAATTCTTCCACTGGAATTTATTCCTTCATGTCTTAAAGATCTTTTGGTTTTCAAAAATATCTGCTTAAAAGAGATGAATGCCTGGGTTCTGACAGAGATAAACTCATAAACTGCAAGAACAAATGCCAAATACATGGCATAGAACATTTATCCTGCAGGATTTTGGAGAAAAGAGACACTATTGTAGCCAGGAGTCTCAAGGAAAGGGAGTGACTTGCAGTAGGCTTTGAAAAGCAGGTCTTTTTCTGAGAAGCAGAGAGGAGGAGGGAATGTACTTTGAGGAGAGCACACTTACATCCCGAGGGAGAAGAGGTCATTGCTGGGAGCAAATCTTCAGGCTTCCTTCCCTCAGTTAGTGCCTCTGATATATCCATGCTCATGACTGAATGTTTTTATAGGTTTATTTTTCAGGAAAAAAACAGTCGTGTCCTAACTGGATTTTCCAGACCTTGGTTATAACTCTAATTGCTGTGATGGCATTTTGGTAAGAAAAACTTCAATGTTATGCTTTGTCAAATTCTTTTTCCTGCCTATCTTTTCTTTTCTCACATATGAACTGTGGCTTGACCTTCTATTAATTTTGAAGAGAAGTCCTTTAAATGAGGGACTGACCTTCTATTTAGCTTAGAAATGAGAGAGCCCTTTTTGAACTCAGTTTGAAGGAGCAAACGCAGGCTTTCTACACTTGAATGTGGAACAAAGCCAGCTTCCTTCAACATGGAGAATTTTGGTCAATCAACTGTTATCTTTTGAGCAGTTGACTGTACCATCCTCTTATGTCTTATGTGTGTATCAAAGTCTTGCAAATAACTATCTCAAATTCTCGATTCCCCTTCCAGTCTTTATGTGGGAATGGAGTAAGTAGACAATCCTCTTGATTTATTAAGATTCTTTTGAAATTTTCAGTAAAGATCTTTCACCAAGAGTACTATGAAATTATCCTAAAATGTATAATAAGATAAAATTGAAGTTCAATCTAGTATCGAGCAAATCTAGTATTTTCTATACAAGCATTAGGTGACTTTTGTCCAGCCATATCTCTTCCCCTGGGAGGTAGGAGTTAGCACACAGGGATCTTTCTCTGGACTTTGGTCTTCAGGCTTCTGCCTTTGAGCCTGGTCAACCTGTGCTGCTTTAGGCCTCCCAATCTTGGCTGTGTTCTCCAACCAAAACCAAACCCACTGCCATCCAATCAATTCTGACTGGCATGGTGGGTTAGCATTAAACTGTTTTCCACAACATCCATGATTCAAACCCACCAGTCATCCACAGAGGAAAGATCAGTCTGTCTGCTCCTGTCAAGATTTACCATCTCGGAAACCCTATTGGATTTCTATAAGTTTGTACTCTCCTGTCCTCTGCATATTCCTTTCTTGTTTTTTTGTCTGATGATTCACATAACAAAAGGAGTACTTATCCCTTGAAAAATGCTTTGTTGGTGTGGGAACGGACTGGCTTCTGGGCCTTGTCTCAGGGGAGACAATCATTTTCAAAGGCAGAGCAAGCTGTGTTCCCATAATCTAAAGCAGCTTCCTACCTAAAGGAGACCATGGAGGTCCCTCTGTCCCCTTCTTTCCCCTTAGCATTTTCACTTTTCACTTGCTCTTGTTGCCCACTGTGGAATTCTCATAGACACCTTGACACTTTCTCACTCTTAATGTCCTTGTCCTTTCCTGCTGGGATTTCTAACTCAGGAGAGCCCAAGCACCTATATTTTTAGCAAACATATTTAGAATTCTTTAGCTATTCAGCATTGGAGAAGAGCACATTGGAAAGGACCAATATTGAGGTAAAGACACTTTTGAATGAGCTTATCAGACCTTATGAATTCTAAAATTATTGACTGTCCAATATCATAAATGAAAGTGTTAAGCTGATTATTTTGTTTCTGGCCTGTGGGATACCCTAAAAGGACCCAAACCAGGGAATTTCCCTCAGTGAAGAGCAATTATCTATTCATTATATGGTCTTGGAAGTTCCTTGGGTTACACAACAGGGCTTCAGAAACTTTGTGGAAAAATTTTATTATCTTTTAATTCGTTTTTCCCCCCACAGACTTTTTGAAACCCTTTTGTATAACCTAAGGTAGATGACACAGAATAATCAGAAAGAGTAGTTAAGGCTTTCTTCTGGGCATGGGTGGAAAGTAGGGGAACTTGGAGGCCAACATAAGGGCAATTGAACCACAGCCAGTCGTTGCCAGAGGAACATTACAAATTGGATCTGATTATATCTTTGGGCCTGTTGGGCAGTAATAAGTTGCTTCTGAGAACACGTTGGGAATTCTTTTATGAATGGAATAGAATGTCTAACACATTTCTTTGTATATTCTTAATCACTCCAGATAATGCTTTTATTCTACTATTTGGGACAGCAAAATCTTTAAAACATAAAAACACAAACTGGCAACCACCTATAGTGTTCAGTTCCCTGGCCAGCTATGAAATAGTGGTAAATCCATCACCTTTGATGAGGAACAAACCCATGAGGAACTAGATGTGCAGTCAAGCTGATGAGTCAGTTAGGTAACGAATGTTATTTCCAGTCCAGCACAAAGTGTGACTATAAAGTCTCAAGACATCTCTACATGAGGAGAAAACTCTTAAGTGCTAGAACCAATGAGCATTGTTGGGCATAGTTTCTCAAAGTTCAGCCCTGTTAAGGAGAGCTTCCATTTAGATATATACGTTCTTATACTTGGGGATAGGGATTTAGGGATGGTATTCTAATTATTCTGAAGTCATGTAGTGTGAAAATGGATGCTATGTTGCATTTTTCCTTCTGCTGCTCAATTGGCTGCATTGTCCTCTGAAAAGACAGGCAGCAGTAAGATGTCAGAGAAGCAGTCAAAAGGTTTAGCATCCGCAGTCAACTCATCCTGTGCTGCCTTTCATCTCTGGATGTGACAATGCACACAACCTCATCAGTGGGCTATGAACTTTGCTCTGACTTTTTCCCTGCAATGAGCAGAGGGCAGCCTCCAGCTAGCCACATACTTCCCCTTGTAATCTTCTACTACTGATCTACACTTCTGAGACAGCTTGCCAGAGCCAAGGGACAGCTCTGTGGAAAAATCCATCTGCATGAAGCACCCCAGGAGCCTCTGGGCTCCAGGAAACTGAGGGCTTTCTTTATCCAGGGCAGAAGGTGTAGTTTTCATGGTATTTCTATCAGTTCTGACTTCCTTTCTCCTTCCTCGCCCAGTTGGGTGGTCTGTCCATCATTGGCCAGCTGCATGTGTGTGAGATAACCTTGAGTCAAATCTGCCACATAACTACATAATGTTTTTGTTGTTTTTTGTGTTGTTTTTTTTTAACAGTGCCTTGACAATAGTCTCCCTTTACATACTTAGTTTGAAAGATCAAGATCGACATGCCCCAAATCTCCTTCCAAGGTGAGAGTTTAAGTCATGCTTTCCTCTGGGGAGAAGAAATCTCGAGGCCTCCTTCATTAATCATTTGTTCTTTTCCTCTAGCAATATTACAAGCTCTCAGGAGCCAGCTCTGCCACCCACAGCTTCTCCATCAGGTAAGCATCATTCCTCATCCTCAAACTCAGCTTTGTTTCATGAGAATTGTCAACGGAAGAAAACCAACCTTTCTGGTTAACCTTGGTGCTTTCCTCCCCTCTGCCCCATGTCTTGTAGTACCTGCAAGTACAGCCTTGGCAACCACACAGCCCTCCCTCCAAGTACCGGAAATCACTTTTTGTGAGATCCTACCATGTCAGGAGACTTACTGCTGCCCTGTCTGGGGAGACAGAAGAGTCTTTTCAAGTCCCTTCTCCAAGGAGGAGAAGCAGCTCTATCAGAGGCCATGGGCGGCAGGTAAAGGATACTAAAAGGAAAACAACTAGGTATTTGAACTTGAGGTTTTTTTCTTGTTTGTGTTTACTGGATAGTCTGTTAATAATTACAAATAATGGTTCTGCTGTCCTATTTGGGGCGACATCTTTAAGAACAGAAATACACAAACAGTAATCACCTATAATATTGAGTTCCCCGCCCGAGGATGAAATTCTGGTTGATTCAAATCCTTATAATTTTCACCAGATGAAAGGGCCTTATTTGTCTGTTGCCAGCAAAGATAGTAATAGTACAAGTGCAGTAATTATGTGCACGTGGGCAGATTTTTTTTTGGCTCACTTCGAATTTAAAAAATGATGTGCTATCTGGGCTCTCTGCCCAAACCAATCAGAGTAAAACGTAACAGGCTTTGGAAATTCTAATGAGCTCAGAGTAAGCTGTAAGCTAGTGAAAAACACAAGGTCGGCATTTCAGTTTCAGAGTATTTTCTTCCTTCTAGGGACACACACACCACAACACAGATGTTTTTTAAGTAACATAATTTTTTGGAAACTTTTTATTGTGAATTGAGTAAAGGTTTACAGAGAAGATTATCAGTTTTACATTCAACAAATCGCACACTTTGTTTCATCTCCTCCATACAACAACAGTTATCCCACTTCCTCCCTCTGTTTCTTACTTCCTTTCTATCCTCCTTCCCTCCCTTCTCAAACTTATCCTTAGATAAACGTTGCCTTTTTGATCTTGAATAGTTGAGCATTCCATGGTGAGCATACCTTACTATTGTTGTTGTCCCCTTCTGTACCTATCTAGAGCTTGGCTATAAATTGGGCCACGAGGCTGAGTTCTGTTCCAAACCTGATAAGTGGGTGAGGGCCATTACCTCGGTTTCCTTCAGTTTCTTTCTGTTAAGTGAGCCTGGTTTATTTTATTTTTTATAATTTTAAATTGTGTTCCACATTTTCTCCCATTCTATCTGGGACCTTCTAATATGATCCCTTTGAGATCAGTTGATAGTGGTAGCCACACACCCCCAGTACTGCTTTTCTTAAAGTCATGGTGACTAATGCTCACATGTCAGAGGGACTAGTGGATTCCAAGCATCTTTGAATTTTTGTTACTCGTCTTCTGCATATGGAGAGACCAATAGTTGCACCTTAGATGTCTGCTAATGAGCTTTTAAGATACCGGATGCTGCTCATCAAAGTTAGGATGTAGAGCATTATCTGCATGGATTATGTTATGCCAATTAACCATGGTGTCCCCAGGTTTAGCAAATCATTGTCTTAAGATGTTTTATAATAGCTAAGATGTTTTCATCATGTACACCCCTGTGTGCTCCACTACGAAGTCCTGGTGTGGTGCTGTGGGTTAATATGCTGGATTGCAAGGTCAGCTTGAACTGAAAGGTTAGTGGTTCAAGATTATCAGCTGCTCCTCGGAAACACTATACAAGGTTGCTATGAGTCGGAACTGACTCCATGGCACTTAATAACAACAGTGCTCCACCACATTCATAGATGTGTTTTCAGCAAAGGTAGTACCCTTGTACAAATATCCTCTGTCAAATTCTGACTTATATTTTTGTGTCTATTCCCACTCTCCCTCCCATTCCTGTTCAGCCTGTGTATCTCCTCGTGTGTCTACCGAAAGAACACTATTGTTCCAATGTTGTGTATAAAACAGTATTTTGATCTATTCCTTTAACAGTTGCATTCTTCCCTTGTCTTTATCATTCTTCTGCCAACCTCCCCCTTCTTGTATGTTGCCTTCCCCATCACTCAAACTAACATATATCTACTCTCTAGCCAATGAACTATTCTTCCTTCCCTCCCATCCCTGAAAACCATCAAAGAATGTTTCTTTTAGCATGAAAACCTTTTCTTGATTTTTTACAATAGTTAAGTTCTGTCCAGTTGATTCAGATTCATAGTGACTCTGTATTGGGTTTCCAAGGGGCAGCTGGTGAACTTGAACAGCAGACCTTGTGGTTCAAACTGACTTTGCAGTCCAGTGCATTAGCCCATAGTGCCATATCAGGACTCCTTTACAATAGTAATCTCATATAATATTTGTTCTTTTGTGATTGACTAGTTTCACTCAGTATAATATCCCTCATGTTAATCCATGTTATGTGGTGACTTGTGGATTCATTGTTATTCTTCAATGTTACATATACCAATGTGTATATACCAAAGTTTGTTTATCCAATGTTACATATACCAATGTGTATATACCAAAGTTTGTTTATCCATTCTTTCATTGATGGACATTTAGGCTGTATCCATCTGTTTCTTTCTTTCTTTTTTTCACTTTTTATTGTGAAGCGAGTGAAGGTTTACAGAGATCATCAGCTCTGCATTAAAAAATCATATACTTTGTTTCATTTAATGATTGCAATCCCCTCTATGTAACACAGGTATCCCACTTCCTTTGGTTTTGATTTCCCTTCCATTCTAAACTTTGTCCTGAGGTAAATGTTGCCTTTTTTTTTTTCCCCACAATTATTTAGTTTTATTTCATAACCATAAACATAACCTGCAATCCAGCTAGACTTGGAGAATAAGGAACCCATAAAACTGAAGTGAGAGTAAAGATTAAAGAATATTGCCAGAACATTGGGGGTAGAAGGGTGGTCCCTAAGCTACACAAGGAATGGTCTTGTGGTTAAGATAAAACACAAAATACAGATCAAACTTTCTAGAGTTGCCCACAGTCAGCAATGGTGATTTTCTCACAGTCAGCAATGGTGATTTTCTTGCTGGTCTTGCCATTACGGGACCCAAAACGCTCCATGGCATCCATAATGTTCATCCCTTCTTTCACCTTGCCGAAGACCACATGTTTGCCATCCAACCATTCAGTCTTAGCAATGCAGATAAAAAACTGGGAACCATTTGTGTTGGGTCCAGTGTTTGCCATGAACAGGATGCCAGGGCCTGTATGCATCAGGATGAAGTTCTCATCGTCAAATTTCTCCCCATAGGTAAATGTTGCCTTTTAAATTTTGAATGGTTGACCATGGATGAGCTTGCCTTTTTAGTATTGCTGTCCCCTTTTTCACCTATCTACTTCTTGGCTGAAAATTGGGCCACGAGGGTGAGTTCTGTTACAAACCTGAAGAGTGGTCGAGGGCTATAGTCTCAGATTCCTCCAGTCTCTTTCTCACCAGTAAGTCTGGTCTTCCTTTAAAATTTGAATTTTGTTCACATTTCTCCCACTCAATCTGGGACCTTCTAGTGTGATCCCTTTCCAAGCAGTTGGTAGTGAGACTGGTCTCACAGTCGTGGTGACTAATGTTCACATCTTCTATTGGTCCATTGTACTAGTTTATTCCAAACACCTTCACATTTTTAACACGATTCTTTCTTCTGCACATGGAGAGACCAACAGTTGTATCTTAGATGGCTGTTCATGAGCTTTTTTTTTTTTTCTTCCCCGGATCTCCACCCTTGCTCGCTCGTCAAGCTCGTCAGGGGAGAGGACCTGGCGACACCGGTTCGCACACGATCGGGTAGGGAAACCTCCCGGGTGGAAACGCCGCCACCTCCACCTCCTTCACGACCCCCACCCCTCTCCCGACCCTAAGCGAAGCGCGCACACCATCCCAGCCAGGGAAGCACGGTGCCGCTGTTCATGAGCTTTTAAGATTCTATATGCTACTCATAAACGTAGGCTGTAGAATATTGTTTTTGTGGACTATGTTATTCCAATTGACCATGGTGTTCCCCCAGTCTCCATCTTTTTATTATTGTGAATAGTGTTACAATAAACGTGTGTGCATGTATCTACTTGTATCCTGGCTTATATTTCTTGTGGCTATATATCAAGCAGAGGGATTGCTGGGTCATATGGTATTTCTATTACGTACTTTTTGAGAAAGCACCATACCATTTCCCACAGTTGATGCACCATTGTATAGTCCATTAGCAATGTAGGAGGCTCCCAGTCTCTCCACACCCTTGCTAGCATCTGTTGCTTTCTGTTTTCTTAAACTTTGCTATTATTGCTGGGGTGATTTACATTTCTCTATGTAAATATTGTAAATATTTACATAGCCATTAGACAGATGCAAATATTGATTTATATCCTGATATCCGGTGGATCTTGGCTGAAAGCAGAGAATATCAGAAAGATGTTTACCTATGCTTTATTGACTACGCAAAGGCTTTC